AAGGAGTGTTTCAGAACAGTTGTCCTCTGCAGTCCTCTAATTCTGACATCTCTGCATTTGACATGCACCCTTTCCTACAACAGCACCCACATGCAGGTCCTTTTCTAGATGTTCTGTGCCAGAAAACAAAGAGAATACTGCTCTTTCTCACCTGTAAAAGATAGCCTTTCTGTTGCCATCCTATACCCCAAGATAGAGAGAGAAGCTCTTCGCATAAAACTTGGTTTCAGACTAGTTTGATTTTAGGTTTTAATGGGTTTTAACCTTGCACACAGTTAAAAATTGATTTTTTTTCCTTCTCATAATGCAACAGATTTCTGACCAGAATACTGAATATTGTATTGGTTAGGGTGGATGTGTGGCTGAAGTGACATGAGGTGGAAGAAGCTTAATCGTAGAATAACAATGTAGTGTGGAAGCACTACTTATGCAGCAGTTATTGTGGATCATGCAATGCAGATGCACAAAAACTGCAACGAACTTCAATTGTAGATTTGTCCTCAAGAAAGGACATGTTCTGTATTAACTGAGGACTTGGGTAGGATCATAGTGTCGTTATAGTTGTGATGGTCCAGGAAATATGCAAGAAACAGTGTTTATTTGTTACTATCTTTTTTTGAACCAATTGTATAGTTGGAAGGATGTTGGAATAGAATTAAACAAAAGTCATTGTTTTATCTGATATATACCTTAGGCTGTATGTGCTTCTTTCCAAACCTGAAGATGGGCACATTGTGCTTAAAATCTTATTTAATATCTTTCCTAAGTATATAGTTGGTTCAATAACAGATATTACCAACAAAAGTTTGCTTGAGGGCTTAACATTTTTTTAAAGTCTAGAAATGAGTAGAGCCCAAACTGGGAGTGACATTTTGATTGATATTAAGAAACTAAAGTGGACAGTGATTCTGATTAGAATATCAACCAGGGATTGCTATTTAAATGTGGACTGTAGATACCCAACTTCAGAACTGTGCGCCAACTGCCTCAATCAATTAAGAAAGAGAGAAATTCAGGATTAGTCATCAAAATAACCAGCTACAGGTGTAGTCAGCACAAACTCAAGCAGTACACTAGAAAATCACATCCTACAGCACAAAATAGGCTTTATTTTGTATTTGAATCCAAGATCCAAAATTGTTACAATAAAAGAAAAATATTAACAGATTTATAAGGATGTTAATTCAGTAAAAGTTTTGCTTTATCTAGTGTCAGGTGTTTCTAAGCATTCCTAGAGATTACCTTCAGTCTTTTCCACAAGTTCGAGAGGCACAACTGACACAGTCTTCACTGCTTGCCAGCTGGAGGAAAAAATGCCAGGAACAGCATAAACCTGTCTATGTGGCCTTCTTTGACCTCACAAAAGCCTTCGACTCTGTCAACCAAGAAGCACTGTGGAGGGATCCTTCTGAAGTTAGATGCCCACCAGAATTCACCACCATTCTTTGCCTGCTCCATTACAATATGTGAGTGGTGGTTCTCAGTAATGGATCTATCACAGATCCCTTTGAGGTTAAGATGGGAGTTAAGCAAGGCTGCATCATCACTCCAACACTCTTCTCGATAATATTTCTTACTGTAATGGTACATCAGACCACCAACAAGCTTCCAGTCGGAGTGGAGCTAAACTACTGAATGGGTGGTAAACTGTTTAATCTCAGCCAAGTCTGAGCCAAAGCCAAGACCACCCCAACCTCAGTCATCAAGCTTCAGTGCACTGATGATGCTGTGGTATGTGCTCACTTATCAACATCTTTACCGAGGCATACAAGATAATGGGGCTAATGTTTAACATTCAGAAGACTAAGGTCCTCCATCAACAAGTTCTTAATGAGCAGTCCCCAGCTCTGGAAATTCTGATTTACAATGAGTATTTCCTGTACCTCAAAAGACCTCTCTCAGAAGACTGACATTGACAAAGAAATCCAACATTGCCTTAAAAGTGAAAGTGCAGCCTTTAGGTGCTTGAGGAAATGGGTATTCAAAAATCATGACATCAGATCCAAAACCAAGCTCATGGTTTATCAAGCAGTCATGATCCCACCTTATTATATGGGGCTGAAACATGAACAATGTACAGGGGACACCTCAAGTTGCTGGACAAATACCATTAATGCTGCCCGCAGAAGATCCTTTGAATCCAGTGGGAAGTCAGACGCACCAACATTAGTGTCCTCTTGCAAGCAAACACCACAAGCATTGAGGCAATGATCATTGACAACAACTTCACTGGGCTGGCCACACCAACCAGATTTCTGACTCCAGACTCCCAAAGCAAGTTTTATTCTCCCATCTCATTCGAAGTGTACGCTCAAAAGGAGGGCAGAAAAAGTGTTTCAAAGACATCCTCAAGGCTGACTTGAAAAAAAGAACATCAACTTGTGGGAGACTATCGCCCAGGACCATGCCAAATGAAAGAAGAGTCTGCTGCAAGGATCTCAGTATTTTGAAACCTTATAATGACAACAGGAGATGCAGAAACAGTGCATCACAGACCAAATCAAGAATCCAGAGCCAGTCACCCCACACAGAAACCTGTACCTGAGTTACAAGTTTTTTTTTCAATCCCGGATCAACCTCATCAGCCATCTTGGGACCCGGAGATCAAGCAATCGTGGAAGACAATCATAGTTGAATGCAAGGAAGTGCCAATAATGATTTCTAAGCGTTCCCAGAGGAAATTATCTGCAGTCTTTTCCACAAGTTCTTCATCTGCCACTGTTCTCTGTTCAGGCAGTATGGTCTCCTATTTTTCAAAAAGGAGATAAACTGCTAAAATATCAGTAAAATTTCATTTTGGTGATCAAAGTTTTAGTTAATGTTTGTTCAGCACTTTGGTGTTAAGATGCACAACATGTTGGCTGAGCTGCCTTTAGTTTTAACAAAGATTTCAAGACTGACAAAACCATTAGATTATTTAGTTAGACCTGTTTAAAACAAGCCAGATAATTTAATTTAACCTAAAATTTAACCAAAGAACCTCTTTGTTGAGCCTGACAACGTATTTGGCAAAAGCTAGGGTTACCATTAGGGTTACCATATTTCCAGTTCCAAAAAAGAGGGCACCTGTTGGGGGGAGGCACCTCCCTCCCAACCTGAAGCCCCTTGCCCCTGCTGCTGCCCCTCACTCCCAACCCAACCCACAGCCCCCGTAGGCCATGCTGGTGTTCGTTGCTCCTGACCTGCAGCCCCCCCATCCTTGCTGGTGCCCCTCACTCCCAACCCACAGTCCCCTGACGCTACTAGTGCCCCACACTCAACCACAGCCCGGTGCCCCTCACTCCCAAACTGCAGCCCAACCCTGCCAGAGGGGGCCCTCAGCTGCTCCTGTTCCAACTGGGCCAGAGCACAGCAGCTCTGACTTGTACAGGCAACGGTGGAGGGAGTCTGGCCCCTGCGTGGGCTGGAGAGAGGACATGGGGATGCCTGTGGCACCCCCACTCTAGGATGGGGCTCCTGCACCATGCCAGGCAGCCTGGCCATGTCCCCTCTGGGCAATGTCTGCTGGCTGTGCCGCCCCTGCCTGGCTGCATGCCAGCCACACACACACGTGGCACCCCCTGCCTCCAGTCACCCTCCCCCTTCTCCCAATAGTGGAGCAGAGTGAAATCTCAAATGTTTGTTCAGATTTAAAAAACACCCAGACAGAGATCAGAGGACCCAAAAAGAGCACATGTCCGGGGAAACCCTGATATGTGGTAACCCTAGCAACAGCCTAACTTGTTTGACCATCTAGTTGTAATCCAAAGACATCAAGGAGGAAGAATCTGCCACTTGCTTTGGTATTTTGTCCCAGTGGTTAAACATCTGACTGCTTTAGAAAAAAATCAATTTAGAAATATGACACTTTTTTAAAATCTAGATCTTCTAGCTGTTGGTAGTTCATTTGACTTTTTTTACAACATTTAAAACCTTTATTATTAAGTATTTTTCTACCTGTAAAGATGTTTATGTGCTATGGTGAAGATGCCTTGTGATTTTCTTGATTGAGTGAAAGACCAGTCTCCCTCTAAAGCATTTACTGTTGTCTTCAAATAATTTTGTGATTCTTTCTGCACCCTCTCCAATTTTTCAATATCCTGTTTAAAATGTGGACATCAGAACTGGAAACAATATTCTTTTAGCAGTCTCATCACTTTTATTGCAGCAATTAAAATCACCTGCCTGCCTCTTCCTTGCTCCTTTGCAGTTTTCTGCTTTGAAGTATTTGGTTGATAATGGCAGCTGGTCATTAGAAGTCTGAAAGGAACCAATACATTGAAAACTGATATGCCAGGCAATCTGCCCCATGTTCATACTGTTTTGTGCTGTTGCTTGTTAGTATAACACTAATCGAGATCAGGCTCCTTTGTGTTAGGTGCTATATATACATATACACTAAAATCTCTGTTATCTGGCATGACTGGGGAATGGGGGGTGCCGATACGCCGAAAGTGCTGCTGACCTGAGCCACAGGGTTTTTGGCCGGATGTGGAGTGGGGATGGTGGCTGCACAGAAAGTGGCAGCAGCGCAGGGAGGTGTGTGGCAGTGGTGGCGGCTGCTGCATGCAAGCTTTCCACCCCCTCCCCCTGCACAGCAGGAGGCAAACTGGCACGGTGCAGTGCCACGTGCGTCCTGTTGCTTGCTGTGCAGTGCAGCACAGTGCCGAAATTCTGGTTAATAAGATATTCCAGTAGGTGAAGTACCAGATAACAGAGATTTTACTGTAGTAAAAAAGAATTCCTATCTTAAAGATGCCTGATGAATCCACTTTTGGCTTACAAACCTGATTAGAGCATGACACAGCTTGTTACAAGTTTCATAGATCCCTGTGTTGTTTGAATTGAGTCCCAGTTTATAGCAAGCTGGTGCTTTCTTGCTTTGCTTCCATCCTCTGGATCAAAGCTGCTTTGTGTTGAGCTGCACTCAGTGCCAGATGTTCTCTCCAGATTGATGTTAAAGAGTTTATAATCAGCAAAACATAACATTGAGGAAAAAGAACAATTGTCTCATTTTACAGGTGAGAATCCAAGACACAGTGTAATTCCGGCAATGCTGTCTTCAGCACACCATCATCCTTCCTGACAGACCTGCCAAGACAAGAACAGTTTGAAAAATATTAGTCCTTTGGTGGGAAATTTTCAAAGACTATCAATTGTTGCAAGAAGTGGTGATTAGAGTTGTCACTCATCTCTCTGAGTTAGTACTTGACTTGTGATTGAATCATTAGTGACAGCCATTGCAAACATTGTATTGGAGAGCTGTTTCTGTAAGTGCTGTTTCTTGAAACAGATCTGGACCATTTACTGTGGTCAGATACCATTGCTTTTAGCGATATAAAAATTAATTCCTGGTTCCTGGCTAAATTTTGATTTGGTTAATTATATTCTACCAAACTAATTTCCCGCAGCATTTTCAGTTGTATACAATTCTTTTCCTCTTTCCACCCTGAAATTCAAGCTAGTACTGTTACATTTAGTTAAAAAACTGTTGAATTTCATCCCAAAAGCTGTAGTATTTTGTAGTAGGTAGAGCAATCTCCACACTCCCCTTATCAATCACACTTACTGGGACACATGCATATTATAAACATTAATAAAACACTTTACAAACAAGAGCAGGGGCCTGAACTTAAAGACTTTGGAGGTCTGTTCCAACTCTGTGCCCTGCTTTTCTATCGCCAAGGGAGTCAGTACACAAGAACAATGAATGAAAAGTAGATCTTTTTTATTTTAGTTGTGCACAGTTATTTTAGAACAGCAATAAAATTCTACACTTTCAAAGATGAAACAGTTTAGCAGTTCCAGGACATAAGGTATGCATAAGAATACAGTCCATCCAAGACCAGAAAGCATTATTTTTCTGAAGATGAACTGAGGGATTGACCCTGCAAACTCACAGCTTACAGTATTCTTAATGATACCATTGGGAATTCTTTTGGAATTGGGTCAAAATGCAATTGCTATACTATCTATATAACAGTTGTCTCATTAATTAGTAACATAGCTTTTTTTAAGAATATTTACATTTTTTAACAATTGAGCAGAAAATTGGTAAGACCACAGAGGATGGAGGAAACCATTACCTGAAATTGGTTTTATGCTACACCAGACTTATTATCTTTGCAGTAAACTGCATGTAATCTTAAAAAAAAAAAAAAAAAAAAGGTTCCCTAATGGCCTTATGCTTTTTGGTAAAGAAAGATCTCAAATTTCTTCTGATATTCTACAGTATATTTCATAGAGGAATCACTTTATATAGCACTGGAAAATAGCATTTATTTGTGAAGTGCAAGTGCCTTCAACTTCTGGTCACAAAAACTGAGTAGTCTTTGTGCCTGAAAGCGTGTCTAACATAGCTCCCAACTATGCGGTTGGTCTAACAAAAGATATCACTAAAATGTCTTGCTTCTTGCATATTTCCTGGACCATTATGGCTTCAAACCACATTCTAAACTTGCTGATAAAGTATTCTTGGGTAAAATGTGCTTTTTTTGAACCATTTATATGTGTAAAAAGTTCACATAATGACAGAGAGCAAAACAGGTAGAAAGCACAAATTTGACCTAGTCTTGCCCTTTATGGGCACGTCCAATCAAGCATGGAAGTTTGGTTCCCTGGGGAGAAGTAACAGTAGCGCACCTTGTGCCACCGTTACTTGTCGCCAGGGAACGCCTGTGCCATGCGTGCTTTGGCACGTGGCAAGTTACCCTGGGTGGGGTAGGGGAGGCTGGGACCAGCACTGGGCTGGCCCCAGCAGCCTTACCTGGGTCCTGGGGGCCTCCCGGGGCTGCAGCAGAAGAGATTCTGCCTTGGAGAGCCTGGCCAGCAACTACAGCACAGCTCTGGGCAGCCCAGCTTTGCTTTTGAGCAGTGCACCCTGCCTGTGCGTTTGCTGCTCCACTTTTTTTCTGCAGGTTTTTTTGACCCCTGGATATCCCTTGCAGCGCTCCCTTGCAGCAGAGAACATCTAAATGTGCAGTATGTGGTGCTGCAGACATGTTTGTGGTGCCACATACCGTATGGCCTCGCTCATCTGAATGCGGCCTGTGTGTTCTTTCATCATTGTAAGTCAACAATGGATGTAATGCATCAAGACTTGTCTGTATGACAGTGAAGGGAAGCTTTCTGATTAACACATTATTAATTTCACTTTTTAACTTTAATTATAGGTATTTGCGAATTATTAAAGTCTAGTTAAAAGAATACAAAAGTAAACTGTAAAAACAGTTTTGATATTTAAGTTCTGATACTCCTGAACATTCAGTGTAAACAGTGTTTGATTCTTAAAAATTGAAAGCTAAAAACAGTGTTAGTAAAAATGTTATATAAGAAAGTAAAACTGTAAATTGCGAGTGCCTTTTTAGTGCTTATTGTGAAAATGCATTTAAACATATTCCAGAACTTTTTTGTAATATTGCTTTCAGGGTTGTCAGGAAAATGCAACCCACATTGTTTTAGTTAAAGTCTGCAAATGTAGCCCAATTAGTGGTTCTTTTCAAATGGTTTCTAACAATGAAATGCCATTACATTTTTTATGAATGTTCTAATCTTTGAGTATTTGGTAAATCAAGTGTGTAGGTAAGTATATACGTGAAAGAGGATAGATTCATGAGGTGTGATATGGTACAAAGCTTTTATCAGTATGGCCTAGAGATTATCTTCTGAATGAATTGAATTAGTGCAATCTATCCCATATGCGCACCAATAAAACTTGTACCACATGCCACCACATATACAATAACACGCATTATTTTAGGAGGGTTTTAGAATGTATAGCAGCTATACTGGGACTAGTGTTGTATCCTTCACACTGCTAATACCAGATTAGTTAATAACCACTTGTGTAAGTTTCTAGGGCAGTGATTCTCAACCTTTTTAGATTTGAGGCATCCTTCAGAAAATGCTAACTCCTAGTTTCACTTGTTTTTTGATGCCTAAATAATCATATAGCAGTGTTTCTATTCCAAAGAACTCAGAAAAACCACAACATTTCAAAATATTTTTAACACTATGAATTCCTATTTGAAATCTCTGAATATCTTGTGAATCATATTTGCTCACCGAAAATTGCATGGTACTCTTGCACCCTTGAAAGGATTTCAAGGCATCCCAGGATGCTGCAGGTTAAGAATCACTTGTTCTAGGGCTATGGAAGTCCCGTTAAATTTTTAAAGTTACATTTTAGATGCACCTTCCTCATAGAAACAGTCATGACTTAAAAATCTACGGCCTGTAAGTTTATATAATGAGTACCTTGTAATAACAGAAATATGAGATGATAGCTTCCCAGTGAGATGTGTAAGAGTTGTCTGTAGCCTCACATAGCTCCAAAATCACTTACATTAAAACAATATTCAAATAGAGGCAGCATGTTCCTCTTCTGAGGCTCAGGCAGGTGTCATGGGATGGGAAATAGAAAGAAAATGTTTCCACGGCAGGTGACTCATTGTAAATAGCAGCTGTCTGAAGCAGTTGAGGAGATTGAAATGTTAGAAGTCCTGGAAAGTAGAGAGCAGATGAGGCAAATAATCACGACAAATTAATATATCAAGTGGCTCTGTTGTTTAGCATGTGGACATCCACATACTTTTTGTGGATAAGTATTTGCCCATCCAGCCTGCCAGCCAAAAAGGTGGAGCACCACGGGCCTAATGTTACATACATGGAATCATAGGGCTGGAAGGGGCTGTCACCAGTCATCTAATCCAACCCTCTGCACAGATGCAGGA